CGTCCGGTAGGATTTTGCTTATGCTCGTCTTGCTGCCAGGGACTTTGACAGTGGTATTTACTTTGTAAATGACCCGTCCATTCTCGTCGACGTAGTTGGAGTTGAGGAAGTTTCCAGGTATCGTGAACTTCATCCTCTATGGTTTAAAGGGGATGGAGGAAATGGGCGAATCAGTCGAGAGAGAGCGAAGATGGCCGTATTATACTGCAACAGTTATTGCAAGTAATCCGCAGTCTTTTGAAATAGCGACTAATTCAATCCCTACTTAGCCTGAGAATTGGACGTACCTCAGTTCCTGTGGGCGTGACCTCCTGCTTACTTTGCGAACAGATCCAGTCAATGCGCAGCCAAAACTCCAACTTCGTGCCTGTGTATTTGCTCGGGCTACCAATGGTAGTGTTGTCCTCGTTCTGGTCAAGTCGACGATCATCGATCGAAGTTCGGCTGGCTGCAGTTTCGGAGCTCATCCACAAAGGACCTGAACTTGATCCTGCGTATACACACACGCTATGGAGACCCTTGTACTCCCTTGCGAAAGCGAAGCGTGTTTGTGGACTTGCGGCAAGTTTTAATATCTGACGGAACCGACCGGGAACTTGCCGAGGAGCTGTCAGTGTCAGCGTCGGTTGCTATCCCGATTCCCTTGTTTTCCCATCGTCAAGTGAGCGTACTTTGGTCCCGCTCCTCCACGTACTTATCTTGTTTTGCACAGAATCAGTCACGAATCCTCGATCCTGAAGACCTTGTAGTTCTCAACTGCCGCGGCGGCTCAATTGCCTTGCAAGAACCTGGCAAGCCTGGGGTTCCCGGACATGTCATTGACTGGAACTTGAACCGTGCCATTTGCTTCGAGATAGCGACGAGCTGACGTGCTTATTCAATGCATATGCATATCCTGTGGTACTTACATAGACGAGCTTAGCGGGAGAACCTGTTTCAAGTACAACCACGCTGTGGTGCCTACCCAAGAAAGTAATTATGGGCGCTTAATAAGCGAAGTCATACTTCGAGCCGAACTCCCAACAGTCCTCAACCCCGCCAAGCTGGGTCACCTAAACTCATGGGTAAGCCCGACCATTGTGTGCGAACGAATGATTAACAACACTAGCATGATATCTGGATTGTCCTCTTGGGAGCGCTTGAGCCGTTCCGAAACCCAGTCAACTACTTTCATCTTCTATGCTTAAATTTAACAGGATGAAGATTGAACTAAACGCCCCAAGTCCTCGTCTAGTGCCTGTACTCAACGGCTCTTTGGTTCTTCATCCGTTTTAAACTTCTGTCAACACCGGGGTTCTTGCCATGCACATTCAACAAGGGGCCTCGAATTCATTTATGTGGTTGCCCCTAATCGGGCGTACGTTGTTCTCGACAGGCGATATGATCCTGTGGGTGACCGTGTAATGTGCTTTGACCTGACATCGATCATGCTGTTGCGTTTAAATAACCCTGTTCAAGCAACGAAACCTCACCTGGCACTCCGCACATCCCCCCCTTCCTCATCAACACGGACATTCACTCCTCCAGGCTTCCATCTCTTCGTTCTCTTTCCTTACTCCCCGATTCGAGAAGACCAGCGGTCCTCGATGATTTACCCTAATTGTATATTCTCCCTCTTTTCATTCCTTGGTTTTGTTCTGATACTCTTTTGCCTTCCGTGTCATCTTCAAGGTATGCCAATCATTCTCGCCGTTTGGATGCCTCGCTGATCACGCTAATCCAAGCTCGAAATACGGGGGCCTGCTTGTACATCATATGGTCCGCTTTGGCCTGTTTGAACGTTTTTATTAATTCGGTTGTGTGGAATGGCAATGTATCCAATCACGCTCCTGTATGGTGCGATATCTGTGAGTTGCCCCCTGTTTCAATGGCGAGACCAACGTCAGGGATAGTACTAATATCGCCTTCGTTCGCCCAGCGGCCAAATTCATAATAGGATTTGCTGTTGCAATCCCTGCATGCGCTTTATGCATCAGTCGACGGCTCTACACCATCACCAGTGGTCAAAGACTAGCCGTCACACCACCTCAAGTGAGTCTCGTAATAGTGCTCTTGAATCCTTGTCTTTCTTACCATCCGAATAATCATAGAAACGGCGCGCCTTGTGTGAGGACCTACTCATTGGCGTGGGTATACCCGTCCTGAATATGATTCTCCGTGCGTTGTTCACCGTTTTGGCTGTGGACTCGGACGCTGACCTATTTTCAGATTACATTCCGCAAGGACATCGCTTCGACATCCTCGAGAACATAGGTTGCTCCCCCTCGACCTACAATACATGGGTTGCCTTTTTCTTAGTTTACTATTGGCCACTCGCCATAGGGATGATGTCGGGAGCCTATTGTGGTGAGCCCGCTTGACATTCGTTCCTTCGCCGCTTATTTGACGAATTCTAGTCATGAATCTCCGTTTGATCGGGCGACTCTCCCGTTCGGCCGGAAACCTTGCCTCAGAGACTGGAGATAGGCACAACACTCTCAACAGATATCGTTTCCTACGTCTCACTGCGCTCGCGAGCGCAGACATTCTCATAACCATCCCAATCTCTGCTTGGGTCATATCCGCCAACCTCGCCATTACTATCCACCCATGGATTAGTTGGGAGGACACTCACTACGATTTTTCTCATGTAAACCTCTTCCCGTATTCAGTGTGGCAAGACAACGCAGCTTTGGCAGACTCAAACCGATGGCTGGTCGTTGTAACAGCCTTTGTGTTCTTTGGTATCCTCGGAACGTCAAAGGAAGTCATAAGAGCCAACCTTGATCTTGTTCGCGGCACTTGGTCCTACGTGCCTGCAATTAGGGAGAGGCGCAGGCGCTCTTATCCAGACCGTGTGATGTACGTATCCTATTGTGGTCGCGAATCTCAATGCTTACGCACTGTCTCCAGACCTGTACCATTTCTTGGTGTAGAATCCTTTGTATTGGATCTCAGCCCCACTACCATTCGTCGAGAGAGCATTGCCTCGGAGCTCTCCGAAGATCTCGAAAAACGGTCGTGCTTCACATTATCTTCGCCACCAGCGTACGAGTATGCGACTGGCCGTAATCAAGTGCCTCCTCCGCTTCCTAAATTCCCTGCCCTGCCTTCACCTGTTAGACTTCTTCCCCCGATACCCTTACATCCTCGCCGCTGTTGACATGGTGAACCTTCACGATTGCGACGCGTCCACTCTTTCAGAATTATGTTTATTGTACGCATGGACCATCCTCTGGGCTTATTTGTAGACCCCTGCTTCTTGTCGCGAACTTGGAGTTATAACTTATCTCAAATCCTTGATCACTCGAACGGGCGGACGGCTGGTGACTCACAATCGGTGTAACTCGGAGGTGCCACCTCAAGGTTCTGTCTTCTTGTAAGCGCAGAAGTTGCCACTGACAGAGCGGTGCAGGGTCCCTTTAATTTGTGCTATACCATATACGACATAGATACATTGTATTATATCAAGCAACAATCTCGACAACTCCGCGGAGGAAGATCGAAAGATGAGGAACCAATAATCCGAAACGGTCCGGGTAAGACCCTGCTTCAACGTTCGACTCCACGGCGACGACTACAATTCGATACATTCTGTGTGGGCTCCCATTAAGTAGCCGGGACAACCAGTGGCGTGTCCTTCTCTCCAATTCAACGCGTACGCTGACTTCCCCCCGAATTAGTGGGGCTACCCCTCTCGCCTCAGTGTTTCAACGTATATGAAGGTGATAACAATGAGATCAATGATATGTTCCCCTTCAGGAAATATCTCCAAAACTCCCTGCTGTTTCTTGCCACCAGATTTACCGCTACGGTGGTATTTCGCCACCGGTGTTCTGACTTCGTCGTTGATAACCAGCTGTGGCATTCGTGTAGTCAATATCTGGTCATGAGGAAAGGAAGGGTATAATGCGGAAACGAACCTCCGGGGCCAACCATCGTATGATCCATCTGTATTCTTGACCGTCCCCGCCGGTAAATATTCGATTCCTGTAACATCGTGAGCTTCCCCAAGGTGCACCAGGGGCCAGTAGACTCACATCCTCTTCCAAATCTCTTTCCTGAAGAACTTGTTCGCGTCAACTGCCTCTCCACCAAGCATGAACGTCGAGTATATCGTCTTCCATTCAATTCGTGCGAGATACGCGAAGCGATCCTCCCTGATATCACCCATACTCTCTCGTCGAGGTATATCATCTGGGAGCAGTCCGAGAATGTTTGTCTTCCCGCCTGGAAAGGTATTGTCGGTCTTGACCTTGTAAATGACCCGCCCGGTATTGTCGGTGTAAGAGCAATTGAGATAGTTTCCCGAGAGTGTGAGCTTCATCCTGATGCCTATCAAGGACGAAGTATGTATACGGGGAGATAGGACGGTCTGGGCTGCAGTGAGAGAAGACGCTGCACAGGAAATAAGGGCTTTTATTGCTGCTCACCGACTCCGCCAGTCGACGTTGGGCGAAGTCAACAGCATCTGACCCCGAGCGCTGCTATAGTGGGTGGTGTTATATAACACCCAAGAGAGGACGTCTTCGTCCATCACCGTAAGAACCGCTCGCTGTAAATGAAGCGCAGCCTGTCAGTATTTCAATTGAGTGTTATCCCATCTCGGTCATGAGGACGACACGAGGACGGATCCGTGGATTGGTATACACGATGCCGAAGCAGGAACGATAGCTTTAGGTTAGAGATGTGAAAGGATGTGAGCCAGGATGTATAGCATCTACTTGGCATCTGCATCAAGCTACCGGAGTCTATGAGCTGCTGATACGGATCCGAAAGGGTTTGGAAGAAGTCATGACTCTGGTGAGCAAGTAGCAACTGTGGACACAGAATACCGCAAAGAGGAATATCACTTACATTTGAGCTTGGGGCCATAACGTTAGTGTGCATATCGAGATTGTCGAGATAAGGTCGTTGTCCGCACTTGGGAAGCGGTGAACTCTTGGGATCAACCAATGAGCGGACTACGGACTCCTCTGTAGCGTGCCGATCATTATACTTCTTTTGGTCCGAGGTTTCAAGCCGCATTAGCACAATGGTAGTGCGTCGCTTTCCTACCGGAATAGGTTGCCTCTTGAGGCAGGCGAAGGTTGCGGGTTCGAGTCCCGTGTGTGGTTCTTTTTGTTCGGTCTCATACTCGAAACAGCACGCGAGCGCTTCGTCACGGACAAGTCTCAACTTGCGGAACAGAATGGCCGAAGCGATTGGACAATGGATATACCATGTTCAGGCGATTGAAGGCGCTTCTGGTTGACATTTTCAAAAACGATATCGTGTAGAAACAATCCTGCTAGGCCATAGTTATATATCAGTGTACGAGGTATTCACTAGAATGGGCACAACATCTGAGCTCGAGAATCTAAGTCTTCGCAGAGAAGGAACTCACGTTTAACCCAATCATTCCAGTCATAATCTCGCTCTCCAGCGATGGCAAAGACCCGGTTCTATCACTGAAATCCAACTGCAAGAACGACTCGATTACTCTCGCCGTCGTCCATATCAAGCCGCGCAAGGCGAGCAACGTTCCCACAACGGCGGTGGTGGCAACCAAAACGATCTTGATCATAGTCATCTTGTCATCGAGAACGTCCGACACGGTCCATGTGCGCGATACAAAGGCCATCGAGAAGACCAGCGCAAGAAAGGCTAAGATAGGCGAAAAGAAAAGGTAGATCTTGCGGTGAGAGAATTCGGGATCTTCAGATATGGTCAGGATGAGCTTTTGAAGCTTGCGAAGAGAATTCTCAAGGGGCGAGCGTTGCGAATATTGGTTACGGCTTGAATCAATGGATCTGTTTGTAGTGCCTGCACCAGGAGCCTGCATAGAGGGTAGTCGTTGTCTTGGAACCTGTCCTGCAGAGATATGGAGGAGATTAGATGAAGACATCATGGGCGTCGCGGTTCAGCCGAGAATCTGTGACTGTCACATCGTTGTTAGACGCTTTGCTTCCTACCACCACCACCACCACCCGCGTCCTTGTCGTTCCTTACAAGTTGCTTTTTCCCGTTCTCTTCAGTATTTATCCTGGACGTTGTGCTTTCTGATAAGGTGATGACCAATACACCTATAAATTTCACCACCGAGGCTGGGCAACGCCACTGACAACGAACGCGGGATGCCTTGTTCAGTACGCTGGGAAATGCAGAGGAGCTCATTTAGGGGTTACTTGCCATTATGAGCCTCACACTGCTTTCCGTTCTTGCTTTCTTTAGTCCTTTGATCCATTTCAAGCCTTTTTGATCTCTCGGTGGCTGATCTAACCTATGCGCTTTTAGGAATCCAAATATAAAGGGGATTGCTGTTCATGGGAGTTTCAACGTTCGTTCTCATTCGCTATGACTCGCCTGCTTGACCTCCCCAACGAGATGTTGTGCGCGATTGGGAGTGAGGTGAGTCTCTTGCAGTGCGTTTTGAGAGGAAGAGAGCTAATGAGGGGGCAGGTTCCAGTCAAGACGCTCAAAGACCTCAGATTATGCAATTCAAGGCTCAGAGAGGCGCTCTCACCAGTCTTATTTTCGTCAGTGGCGATAGGCGACACTTCGACGACAGCTCGTACTCTTTCCTACGCTCGCTACGTGAAGCATCTATCTATCGGGTTGTGGACATGCAGGAAGGATTTGGACTTGTCGGTGCTGAGGTACCTACGAAATGTCAGAATTGTGCGGTGCGTAACCTTGTCCTGGGTTCTCAAACGTATTGGCTAATACCCCGCCAATCATAGCTGGCAGCTGCTTGGTCATGAATCAGAAGATACTGTTACCAGGATTTTTGAATACCTTTCCTCTCTCCAGACTCTCAGCGAACTTCATTTCGTTAGCTATCAGCCCTCATTATACCCTATTCCCTTCAACCGATACCCAGTCACCAACCTCTCCGTGCTTTCAGTTCAAGGTCCCTTCAGCGCCGAATCGTCAGGCATCCCATTAGCACTCTTCGACCTTATCACGAACAACGTTGCTCTGACAAGCCTTTCCCTCGACGTTGCCTGGACCTCCGGTGCACAGCATTTCAGTCGTCTCGCTGACAACCTTCCATCCCTTTTCTTCTCGTCTCTTCGCCACCTCCGGCTGCCCCGCTGGCACGTCGATATCTCGTCGGCCTGGATTAAGATGATGCCCAGCCTCACCTCTCTCGACGTAACACCACCTTCGCCAGGAACGGACCACAGTACCCTCTGGACGGTGTTACGCGAAGAGAATGTTCATCTGAAGGACCTCTCAGTGACAGTAGTCACTCAAGAACTCATCAGCTACCTGAAGTCGTACTCCGGATTGCACTCATTGGTGCTGACCGACGTCGAGAGCGATCGCTTCCTCTCTGAACAACTCTACACCCAGGTTATACCGAAGCACGCGGAGATGTTGGTCTCGCTTACAGTGGATGGGAGAAATAACGATGAGTGGTGTCTCGAGGCTGGACATGCGTCTGTCTTTCGGTCTTGCGGGAAGTTGAAGGACTTGAGCGTCGTGATCAAGGCGGAAGCTTTGAGTGACATCGTACGTGGATTGCTTTGTGTCGTCTGTTTCCTTTCTGACTTGGGTCAAACTCTCTTTCCTTCCTCAGAAAACCCTGATGTCGTCCATACCACTCTCACTCCGAACGCTATGCTTGACGTGGAACACCTCCGATCCCGACGTTGAATATCTTCGTTCTTTCATCTTCCGACTGTACGATTCGGATTTGGAGAGCCGCCCGCTCAACCAGAGCTTGATTATCTACGCGGATATCGTATACCTCCTTGGTAGGGTGGATGAGGGCAAGTCGGGTTTCGTGTTCCGTGGGTTTAAGACCCACCGGAGTCAGTTGAATTGGGCTGCGGCGAGGTCTTTGTGTGGGAGTTCGAAGACGTGATGACGGGAGGTGGTTTATTTGCGTTGCGAATGGTATATCCTATACCCATGCACATATCATGAAATACTACGAATCCGTCTGTGGTTTCTTTAATGTTACATTCTGATGGCTAATTGTCTACCTTACGTATTTTGCTTAGTTTCTATAGTCTACGATATCTTCTACGATACGTACCACAAGTAATTCGAGGATCAAATTTGCGTCTTTCAATCCCGTGGATGCGCCGACCACCGGTGTGGAGGGTCGTCGGAATCTTGAGACCATCTGAGCATTGACTTCACGAGCCGTCTGCTGCTGGCGACTACCCGTCCACAGCCGTCCACTCTTTCCAGCTTGTGGAGTCTTTGGGCCTTTCCCCACAGTTTCGATCAGAATAGCGGAGGCTGATATCCGGGTCTGCGCATATCAGACCATGGCGATCTTGGCTTGCAGGTTCAAGTCCTTACGGGGAAACAGACTATAGTGCAAAGATGTGATGCGGCTTTGCAGGCTCGTTACCCGTGCTTTCGCGATCACTTTTCTGATCACCTTTACTTATTGTTCTGAAAGGTCTGTATTATACTTCACAGTCGTAGAATGCAAGTTCACACCCATCAGGTTTCCTAAAGATATACCCATGGGCCAGATCAACCGCACTGCGTAATCCCGCGTTCTCAGTCCCCAGTTGCAGCTCTCACACTGTTGACGGACCCCGAACACTCATAATTGGAGGTGGTGGCTATAAAGGATCTCCGGGTTCAATATTCCCTCTCCCTCTCTTCAAGTCAAATATGGTCGTTGTGCGAAATGGCGCTCTTATCTTTAATGAGGTTCCGACAGGTAAGTTGACGACCTTCCTCCATAACACCCGCTCCAACCTCTGATCCACGTCTCGCCGGTTAAGCTTCACCGTTACTAACGCCTCGACTCGATCAAATTTAGGCTACCCAGAACCTGGGAAGACCACGATATTCGATGATAGTAGGACCATAGATTTGGATAACGTCCCTTTGAACGGGAGTATTCTCGTGAAGGTTCTCATGTTATCGGTGGATCCGTATATGAGGGCGAGGATGAGGGAGCCTGGGGCGAAGGCGTATGCGGTACGTGTGTTTCTTTCGTTAGAGCAACGGACCTCCGGTGGCTGAAGGCGGGCGGCTCATAGATTCCCTTCACGCTGGGCGAGCCGTGAGTCCACGTCCTGTCTTCCGGTATGGTAGACCGGGCGTGCTGTGGAGCTCATTCTTCGAAACACAATAGGATAACTGGGCGGAGCATTGGACTTGTCTTGCGCTCAGAACATGAGGCGTTTGCACCAGGAGATCATATCACCGGACCTTACTCGAGTGAGTTTAGCAATGAATCTCCGACTCCCGTTCTGTTCTAACCTACTTCCTTGTCTCCGGTACATAGAATTTGAGGAATACACCATCCCCGAAAACCCGCTACTTTACAATAAGATAAGACGAGAGCCAGGGCTGGAATGGCCAGTCTATATCGGGGCGGCTGGGATGCCTGGTAGGTGTGACTCTTGTTGGGTGTCCTCGTGCGGACTACTGAAGCTCAGAGCCAACAGGTAAATCAGCGTACTTTGCATGGAAAGCATACGCGAACGCAAAGAAAGGAGAGACGGCGTTTATTACCGGAGGAGCTGGCCCCGTTGGAACGTATGTGCCTCAGCCGAAGTCTGGCCCCAACTAATCCTCTGTTCATTTTGATTCTCTGCTGTAGGATGGTCATACAGCTTGCGAAATCTGACGGAATGAAGGTCATAGCTTCGGCAGGGTCGGATGAAAAAGTACAGGAATGCAAGGACATGGGGGCGGATGTTGCTTTCAACTATAAGACTACGAGTACGGAGGAGGTGCTGGAGAAAGAAGGGCCATTGAATGTGTGAGTACTTCTATCGTTCCCCTCTCCGTTCTCTCAGATAGATGTTCAATCAACGTAGCTACTGGGATAATGTCGGGGGCTCTGTCTTGGATGCGGCACTGGCTGCCACTGCACCCCATGCAAGGGTGATTTCATGCGGGATGATATCAGAGTATAACGCACCCCACGAGGGTACTAGACTCAAGGTACGCAAGCCAAGTTTTCACGCAATTTCTGGGTTACTCACGGTTCAGTAGAACTTGTGGGCAATTTTTGGTCGATCGCTACATATCCACGGCTTCCTTGTATACGACCTATCTACTCCCGATTTGGAGAAAGAGTTTTATGATGTGGTTCCCAAGAAACTGGCTTCCGGAGAATGGAAACATAGGGAGGATATAACGAGAGGTCTAG